GGCATGTCGTGAGCAGAGCCAGCTGGAGGTCAGACTAGATGGCCCGGGAGGCCCCTTCTGACTCGCTCTGTTTCTATGTTTCTATGTTTGCGTAAATGGAATGAACTTCTCAGCTTACTTGTTCCTTGAGTGGATGTGTGTATTTTCAAGCTCTCGTCCCTGCAGAAGATGCAGGAACAAAGGAAAAGAAGTCACACCATGTAGTGCTACAGCTTTCTCAGATTGTTGCGGGTGCATTTGTGCTTGGTAGTACCCATGTTGGCTTTCCCCAGCTTGGTATTTGCTAAGCATCTCCCGTCTCCAGCCTTTGACTCTGCAGCTAATGGAAACTTTAGTGTAAAGCTTTTGGAAGACACCAAGTTAGGAAAGGTTGTTGTATATTCTGCAATATTATTGTACTTTTCTGAGATCCCAGTTGTAAGAGAGCTATTTGTTCAGCAATGCCATCTTGACATTGACTGTATCAATATTGTATTTCATCTCTTACTCTGAATGAGCATGTATTGGACAAAAAAATCTATTTTCAGTGTGTTCCTTTGTGTCTCAGGGAGGGGCAGAAAATGCCTCCACAGCAATGCTCGTTTTTGTTGATTGTGGGTCTAGGATCAACTGCAGATACAGGATTTGGCCCCTAGATTGCATCATTTTGTGCGTCCTCATGTCTTTTTAACAGTGCTTGTTGATTTTCATTGATTACTGCAAGTGGGACTATTTAAAGATGGCAGCTGATGTCTCAACAGCTGAAATGCCATCCCAGTTTGAAAATGGGTGGGGGAAAAAGATGGAGAACCCCGTCCTGTCCTCCCCACCATCTTCTATCGTTTCCCTAAGCTGGCGGTGCCTCTTCTTTCCCCAGAAACTGCAAAGTTCAGCAACACAGTTCTCTCTTCCCACTCAGTGGGACAACCTGGAAGGCTGTGCTTCCCCTCCCGATGCCTCCCCCCACCCCAAGGCCGCAACAGCACCCACACGCAGCAGTCACGAGAGCACTTTTCCCCATCACATTCCCGCCCTCGGAGAAGCGCTTGACATTTTCTCCGAAGAACGAATGGGCAGGCCACCCGCTGCTATTAAAGGACACTCCAGGATGCCCTTGGGGGTGCAAGTCTGTGGTCCTTGGTGTGCTTGCAGCAGCCCTGCCGACTGGGGTTAGAGCAGGAAGAGGCGGAGGGACCTCGGAACGTGGCCACTTCCAGAGACTGAGGCGAGAGAAGCCGAGGCGCGCATCTCAAGACTGGGCGCCCCCAGAGCTCAGGCGGCCCTGAGAATGAGTGAGTGGGAAGGGTCTTGGAGCAGGGAAGAGCCCTAGAGATGGACGAGGTCGCACGGTTCTCGATCGCACGACGCAAGGTTGGCAGAGGAAGGCAGCCCAGTCAGAGACTGGCGTGTGGAGGGGAGGTGCGCTCGCTTCCAGAAGGCCCCTCCTGGAAGGACGGGGCCCACATGGACTCATAGGGAGAGCTCCCAGAAGGAAGGGCTAGCAGGGGCTCAGGAACCACTCCGGCAGGCTCAGGGAAGCCTTGGCGGGCTTGTGCTTCTGAAGATGCTCTGGTCGATCAAGAGCACTGGCCAAGAAAGGCCTGTCTCTTGGAAGGTGGGGAGAGAGGACACGTCCAGGACGCAGGTCCGAAACGGAGGTTTCTGATGTCTCAGTGTCTGAACTGGGAAAACTTTGTCCCTTGGTGAGCCCCTCTGCAATTCCTGGCAGCTTCCTTCCCATCAAAATGAACCTCCTGACACTTTGTCTGCCCAGCTGATTCAGGAATTTCTGAGTCCTGTCTCCTTTCAGCCCAGATTGATCAAAAAAGAAAAAAGCTTCTGAATTCTGCTGCTCAAAGGCCAGAAACACAGAAGAAAAATCCTGAGAACACAGGTGGTAATTTTGTAATCATGCAGTCCTTCATGTGGGGGAAGATTTTAGTGAGGTGTTTTTTAAAAATGTACAGCAAAAGATAGGAATATAAAAATGAATTTGTTGGGGAGGAGAGGGGAAAACACTGGAGGGAGGGAGGCAGGGAGTCCCAAATAGAATTGCAGCGGCACTCTGACTTAGCCCATTCCAAGCCCTGTAGCTGGGTAGCACATTTCCCCCACAGCATATGCAGAGAGGATGGGTTTGAGTGGCAGGTTTGGCCTCTGTGAGAAGGTATATGGAAGGTTTGCCTGCCCTGAGCAAACTCTGGTTTTTATGGGAATCTACGTTCAGTAAAAGCCAGCCCTTCCGAAACAGCTGTTTGCCCAGTAATGTGCTAGCCTTCACTTCTGGAATCTGCAGACCAACCAGCGAATCAGAAAACTGCTTACTCCGTGGACTCATTTTCCCAGTGACCCCAAATTTCCATCTCAGAGGACATAGCCAGTTCCAGACACTCAGCCTGGTTTATTTTAAAGAGCGTATGTGGATTTGTGCATATAGGGAAGGAGGGAATTAACTCGCCAGATGCTCTAGGGGCACGGTTGAACCACCACAGAAGATGTCTGCCCCATCTTTACTTTGTCCTACAAAACCTCACGGGGCCCCCAATCCTAAGTGTGTTCAGTTCAGCTTCTTGGTGGTGAAGAGGTGCTGTCCTCGCTGCATCCCGCCTGTGCTTCCCTGGGTGCAAGAACCGATCCGCAGGTACCGCATGGCACCTGCGTCACACGTGGTACCTTCTCCTGCATCCGCAGTATCGTCCCAAGTGATGCTTATTCCCTATAGGAGTGGGCGGCATCTCTGAACATACAGAGAACGTTCCGGGTATGTCCCGCAAAGAGAGGTCAAACCCCACTTGAAGGATTTCCGCTCTTTGGCACCAGGCCTCTTCCTGTTGGTAGGACTTGCTCTGGTGCCACCAAGTACCACCAAAGAGGCATTGGGCTCCAATGACGTGGTGCTTACACAGACTTCTTGCAGTGAACGGGCAGGTGTTTCTCCGTCACCAAAAGGGTAATTAACCCTAGATAAATTTCAATGGGTGCGGCGAGCGTGAGAGAGAGCGAGAGCGAGAGCGCGCATTGGTGGAAGACTACAATTTAGGATTGGCTGAATTTTGGAGAATTACACTGGATCTCTTCTCATTCTGCATACAAAAGTATATTATACTTGTCAGGGTTTTACTGTCCTAGCATCAGGGTATCCGGTATCGTCATAACTACTTAAATGAAATTAAGTCGGGAGCTAAACCTCCTTGAGCCTGCCGTTGACCCCAGTAATTAGGTCGTAAGCTTTTCTCTTAACGCGGCATCCTGGTCACATTATGATGTGCGGGAATGTTCGAAACTGGCTTTTATAAAAATTGATAGATTATTTAACTATAGGACATATGGCAGCCATCTCTGGGAGAGAGAGCTGAGCTTAGGGTTTAAAGGACGCAGATGCTTCCTCTTCGTGAAGGATGGCCTGCTGGGAGCGAGACAAAGTCGGCAAAATAAGAAAAGGGCTTCTTCCTACTAGCCAGAAGTTTCATTTATTGTAAGTAGACTTGGCCTAAATGCAAAGCGTATGTTTGTAAGAAGCCGTTTCATGCTGTTTGTGTGAGTGTGGATTTTCCCTCACAATTGCCCTCACATACGCACTGATGTCAGGTACTGAATATTCCAGGCCGTGACATTTGCTTGCCATCTGCAGTTAGAGATATTTTGTGATCCTGTTCTGCGCATTATGCTCCTGTTCATGTTACAAGTCTCCAGGAGTTGCATAATGTATAAACAGGGGGTAGCTGTTTGTAGGTCTGTTGGTTAGTACGATCTGCTCTTGGAATTCCACCGTATTTGTACTTAAGCTCAATCATTCTTCTTCCGATGTCTAACGCAGGAATACGTTCTTTGGCAAAGTGCCTTAATAAAGATGCGATGTTTATTTTCTAAGATAAATAGAGGTAGCATTTAAGATACGAAAGCCAAGTCCTCAGTTTTTTATATGCATTAAATGTAAGCTAAGATGGTAACATCAAATATTTATTTTTATCTATGTAGTCACTCTTCGTGTCATTTTTCCTCTCACACCTGGTTGTGCATGACAAAGTGTTTGTTTGCCTAGGCATCGTGTCTTTCCGAAAAAAGTCATGCTTCTAATAAATAGGATGAACAATAGGATATACTCTAGAACAGTATTGTGTTTATCTAGCACTTGGATACATATGGTAACTTCAATCAATAACGTTGGGCACTTAGGAAATAGACATTCTCTTTAGTACTTTTCTGCTTGCGGACCAGCTTCCTATTCTAGGAAATAAAGGAAAAAATGCCATAGGATTGTGCCTCTTTAAATAAAAATATTCCTTATAAATGCTAAAAATCCAGAGCCAGGTGATACTTGCATGAGGGCCAAGCAAACATGCATGAAATTTCATGCACTTTCTCAAGCCCCGGACATCTCTAGGAGGTTGGTGCAAACCTCGGACTGAGTCATGTGCCCTTCCAGCTGTTTCAGCTTGCAACCCTCATCATGTCTGGCCAGCGTAATAGATGGCGAAGGGCGAGGAGAGTCCTTGGCCAAAACTTCTGGAAGACCACAAGTTGCCCACGCTGGGCAGCTAAATGAATATAGGAACAACCTGGAAAACAGCCTCACTTCTGAGATGTCTGAATTCTTGTGCATCTTGGTGAAAAGAATAGAAAGGGCATTGCAAAACTTGCCCTGGACTTTCTGGAGCGGAGACAGAAGGTCCAGGGTCCCAGGGCAGCTGGGCTGTCTAGAGTAGATTTGGAAAGTTAAGGTGTGTACTCAGTTGCTTCTTTTAGTGAAGTTTAACTTGTATTGTTTCTGAGAGCACAAGGCTTCTGGTTTGGGGCAGTTCCTTGCCAAGAATCATTCAGCATGGCACATTTTGTCCAGACTGTTCCCCCTCCCCTCCTACACCTCTGACAGTTTTAAAAATAAGAATATTAACCAGAATAGTCAGGATGGAAAAATATGTAGAAAATGGAGGATGCGCTGATAGTAGATAGTATTTTTCTTCTACACATAAACCAATATTTACCAGTAATCTTGTGTTTCTATTTTTGTTTTTTGGCAGACTTTTACCAGTAAATATCGGTTTATTCCTGAAACCAGAAGTCCTAAACATATCTTTGTTTATAAGGTCAGTCATTTCCTGTTTCTGTCCTTCCCCATCTATTTACCGGTTCTATTGTCTTTCAGGAATGGAAAGTTTAGTGTCTTCTTTTTGCTTTTCTACTTTCCGCACTGCTATTCTCTGGACATAAAGTACAGAAGAAATGTTAACCTTTGAGGAGATAGTTTTACCCCTAGAAATCTTACATCCAGAGGACCGGTCCAGCAAAACAGTTTATAACATTGTAACTTTCCGTTTAGATGTTTTAGATCTTTGTAGCTAAACGTGGAACAAATGACTAAAGTTAATAGAGGGAGTGGAACATTTCAATCTTGGGCATTAAACACCATCTTAGAATTTGTGAAAAAAGGTAAGAAAGAGCTAATAGTCAAATCCTGAACCCAAAAGAAGTTAGCCATGTGTTTAAAATCTGCACTCAAACTAGACCCTAAAAATGAAGCTATAGAGTAGTTCTATACTGTTTGTAGCTCATAGCTTACACATCGCAACCCAGGTTGTGTTCTTTGTTATTCAACTGAGTTAAAACAAGCTAGCTGGGTTTGCTTGGTCACTTCCTCTCGGCGTCTACAGCCAGTCGAAGGGCTGAACAAGGACACGCTGTCCTTGGACTATTTATGTCTTTTCTGCCCACATACCAGAGTTCTCAGTCTGAACGTCACACTAAACAACCCAAGAACAACCCATTCCTGGGTCGTAGTGGGACTTGTTTAGCCATTCCCTCTGAGGGGAAGGAGACGGGCAAAAGCCACAGAGTCTGCCAGCTCACTGGAAGCTGGGTTTCAGAGACTGCAGCAATAGGTCTTTTCTCATTTTAATCACCTGCAGTGGTGCTAATGCCAGCACCTTTCCTTTCTCATGAAGGCTCGATTTTACCTTTTCTAAAAATATATATGTATTTCCTGTACCATTGATCAGTGCTGTGTTACCGGCTCTGATCTGCAATTCAGAATGACCTCCACATGCCGTGGGGCTGTGAAATCACACATGGCCCCTCCTCGAGCTCTGTATCACTCCTAAATAGGGAGGTGTGTATGTGGGGGAATACCCCAATATTGGTAACTCTGCTTAGGAGACTCTGTTCACCTGTCCCATTTATATATTATACTCAATATGTGGCGGTGAGGTGTGGCACAGGTGTAGAAGAGAGGTTCTGCTACCACACCATCCATTTTATTTGAGCGTATATTTTTTTTGTTAACCCACCCATATAGCCTCATGGCTAATGGGGCAAGATTAAAAGCAAAACAAAATAAAATAAAACGCATTGCAGTCCCAATTTTATGAAGTTGCAAACAGGTCTCTTGTGGAGCTTTCTGTGATATTGGTCATATTAGGGAAAACCGTGCCCACTCCTGCTTAGGCAGGCCCTAACCTTGTACGTCATCTCAATTCAAAACTGCTTTTCCTCCAGTTTTGCAGCCTCCCCTTTTGTGATTCTGAGTGTGCGATATAATTGGTAACGACTTTAATATGAGCCATTGACACTGGCACTTCTTTGGAGCATTCAGAAGGCTTGTAGAAAACCCCTCTTGCCACTCTGGAACACGTGCAAAATCTCTCATTGCAAAGACGGATTCTCTTCAGAACTGCAATTTGAACAGTTCGTATACTCCCAAATACTATTGCTATCGATACGATGAGTCTTTCCTATACAGCCAGTTAATTTGCAATTTCAGGTTGGAAATAAGATTCTATCCATTGTATTTATCACTCCCAGATTTTACTGTCAGTATTGTCATTTTGTAATATTGTCAATGTTTAATGTGGATAATCTATGTAAATTAAAGTTTATTGCAAGGGGCTCTACATTTCCATGCTATATGGGAGTCAGGATGATTCCAATACAATATTTCTTTCTCAGAAAGGTGAAGGCAATTCTGAGTATCATTCTTAAAATGTCTAAGGCTAAAACTAAACTGCTAAAACTCTGTCGCTGTCCAATATCTTAAAGACTGAAGTATTCACAGAACAGTGCAAAATTGCTGAGCCACTTGCCGGAGGGGGTCTTGGACCCATCCTGCTGGAGGGATCCTGTGGGCAGCTAGTTTGCCACTGTGTGCACAGTGTGAGACTAGACGGACAATGGGTCTGATCCAGCAGGGCTGCTCTCACGTTCTTGCGTGTCAGGCACAATTCCTTACATCATGCTAAGCTTGTTGTTCTGGCTTAACCATCTAGGATGTGCCGAAAGAACCCTCTCAGGCAACACCCGTCCTGCTGCCTTGCAGGACAACTTTTGCTCAAGTGGGAGACGAAGGCAGGATTCAGCACTTAAGACATACTTTCCCAGTACATGCAAAGTGGAATGATGGTTAAGCCAGGATGCATAAACTAGCTTCAAACCCTGTTTCAATGCTGGTTTCAGATCCTGGCTTGTTCGGGAGCTCTTAAACATAACGTCACACATTGTGATGAATTCTTCCTTCTTCTCGCGCTTTGCACAGTGATGAATCCTTGCTTTTTCACCCATTTACATGAAGGAGTGAAAAGGGAGCTAATTGCGTGCACTTGTACACTTCTTATGTATATTCTAGTGCATTGCACCAAACAGTTTGTTACTTCCGCTGCTAACACAGCCAGAAAAAGAGAAAATATATACACACTTTTTACTAAACTTCAGAAAGATCAAAAAGACTAGTCTTTCAAGTAACGTCAGATAAAAATTAAAATGTTTTCCTTTACAAACACTCCTGTAGCAGTTAGGTCAACTTAGCCTGCAATATTTCTCTGGCTGAGGTTGCCCAAATTCTCCCTTCTTTATAAATCCTGCATTTCAACTGAACTTTCCATAGATGTAATACTTCAGGATCAGGCTTTGCCCCCCTTGTATTTCAGGTTTGTTTTCCAGTTGATAAGAACAAGGAAATTTTAATTATTGCTTAAAATGTCCTGTATATTGAATGGGAAAGATTCCGCGAATTTCTCTAGAAAGAGCAATAGTCTCTGGAAGTCCTGAGATTTCATTATGCTGAAGGTTTATGACAGGCAGATAACCTTTTGGTATTTTAATTTAGGGTGTTGTTAAATTCGTAACCATTTTTAAACCAGAGAGCTTTACCTTTGATACGATGTCAAAACGCATGATCTGTTTGTTTGCTGCATAAAGGATGCAGCTCTGTGTCAGTGGGAAAGAGGCAGGTGGGGATGGTGTGGAGAACAGCAGCCTATTGGATCACACCTGGTAGAAAAAGTGCACCTGATAACCATCCATGTGAACCTTTCTCCAGAATATGATTCTTGTGTATAACGATAGACAGATACAATCTCTTGTGTATCTTTCTCATGTGAGTTTTCTGAAAAGGCAAACAAAATAATCTCTCAAGATGAAAGACTAAAAATCTCTCTCAAGTCTCTGCGTATTTTTTGCTAGGTAATCTTTATTAGATGTGCCAATATCCATTGTTTTTCTATACATTTTTAATTATCGTACAAGCATATATTGTAAGACTGCACACTTATTAGAAGACTGGAATGCTGAACTAGGCAAAATACTTGTTTTTTATGTAAATAGTTGCTATTTTTGTTTTTAATAAAACTGGTACCAGCTCTCCTAACTGTTGTATTTTAACCTAATGAGCAATGTTCAGACATCCTGTGGCTTATGGTATTTGTGTAATTGTTTGTATGTAACTACTAACTATAAATTGTAAGTAAGAAACATGCTTGTTTCATCTATTCAAAATAGTTTCTCTCCTGTTATGATAAAAGGAATTGATTTATTTTTTTAAGATGGCCATGCAAGTGTTTCTCTGCTTTTTAAAAATACCAGGGTGAGGATTTTATCTAGTTTTCACTTGATAGACCAAAGTTACCATTGACACTGTCTTGTAATGCTGATCAAATTTATCTCCTTTGCACTTTAAACAAATTTTAAAAAGGGAAAATCAAGGTGTCAATTGCAAATACATTCACTGTGCAGTGGAATGTAATGTCATTAGTCAGTCTGTTTATAAAGAGGGTATTTTCCTTTGTTGTGGGAAAGGGAGTACTTGAGCAATGTATTTGCTAGTTAATATAAAGTGTTTACATGTAATTACTTAATAAATTATTTGATTTTAAGATGGATCTTAGTGATGATTTTTAAGTGGCAACTATTGAGAACCTCTTGTTCCTTCTTTCAGTTCGTTCTGTCTTTTCCAGTAATCATGTTAAATGCATTCATTTCCATAATATGCTGAGGAAGGAACAAAACATGAATTTCTGCAAGATTGCTAGCTGCTGCATTACTGTGTGTAACATTTTGTAACAACTCTGACAGGCACACTTTCGATAAGGCATTTTTATATAATTTTGGGTACTAAATGCAGTGGAATATCATGTGGCTTTACTTCTGCTAACAGAGACTCATCTTATTAAAACGGTCTTCCAATAAATGGCCTTTCTCCATATTACAAAGCAGAGGCTTTAAACAGATGAACTCAAAGAAATGCAGATTTTGGGAGTGGTGCAAGTCTGGGCTTGGGCCCAATCCTAAATATGTATGTACATAGAAATGAGTCTCTCTGAGCTTGCAAGGTTTTCTTCTACACATGGAAGTGCCCAGTACAACTCCTTCACTGCCAGTTAGTGGCAATCTGAGACAATTATTCAGTTGTAGACTCAGTGCTAAGCCTATATCCACAATGGAGTCCATGCCCAGTTGATATCCTCCGGGAATCAGCTTAAGTCTTCGGGGCAACAGTGTCGGGCCATTATGGATCGCACAAAATACAATCTTGTCACCCTAACGTCCAAAGTATTGTATTTGTCCAGTACCTGAAAAGGAGAACTTACGAGGCTTTCCCTTTAAAAAATATTAGAACAGTTGTAGTTTCTCAAATGCAACGTTTCCATTTCTGAGTTGTGCAAATTTAACTCTCCTGGTTTTGAGTTGCGCAAATGCAAGAATGTTGTTCTTCATTTTAAAAAGTGAAACACAATGACATGAGAGAGATCGCAGCAATGTCCGACGTCACCCTAAGTGCCTGTGGACACAGGAGGTGGTTTCAGCTAGAGAGACAATGCCTCATTTTGGCAAATCCTACGAACCAAGCGTGGTGAATTGTCCTGCACATTTTTGAAAGCAAAAGCAACAATTGTATGGCACCTTTTACAAAATTGTTTGCAACAAACATTTCTGTGGACTAAATGTAAACAGTATGGCTAGACGGAAATGGTAGTGTAAAATTATATTAGGAGTATAAATAGATGCAAAATAACTGACAGTTCACATCTGCAAGAACTGAGTAAGTCACTCCTGCTGCGAACACTCACTAGATTTATTTTATGAGCAAACTTTCAAGTGAATTCTCAGGCTGTACTTTTAAATGTCATAATACGGAAGAGAACACTTTGCCCTCAAAAACTTATGGTAAACTCTTTTTGTTTTTGTTAATATTTGAATGCCACAAGGCATGCCTCCCCTTTTTTTGCGCAATTTCAATGCAGTTTTGATTTTTGATTTCACATGTTCTTTACTTTGAGTGTAGAAGGAGTGTTTTTGTAAGGTGGGATCCGTGGGGAGCAAAACAGACCAAAGCATGTGACCGAGGATGGATTCTGTGCTCATCTCATTTTGGACAAGCTGAGCACTAGCATGCAGAAGACAGCTTGCCATCCTTCCTGTTCCTAATTCGTTCAATATTCACCAATATTGCATTACCATCTTTGTAAAAGGAAGACCCTGTTTCTGGAATGCTGTAAATTTCTCAGGTTATAATGCTCCACATTGCAGACATTCAACTATACTGACTTGCTTCATTTTTCTTTTTTGAAAGCTGACCATATTCTTTCAAGTTTCAGAATAAAATTCCACTTGGCCTAAGGGCTTTCTAGGCTATTTCAGCAACCACAGAAGTACAGGGTAAATGAATATGGGCAAATGGGAAGCTTGAGGTTGTGTTCTGTCCTTCATTGTACTTGGCTGCAGTCTTCCCTTGATGTAAACGCTGTTCTCTATGCTAGCATTTGCAGCCTGAAAAAGATACGGGCCCGGGAAAACTTGCAGTTGCCATAATTTTGTGGTTCACCTGCCACCAGAACAACCGGCAGGGTATTCCAGGTGATGCATTCATCCTTTGGAATCCTGAGCAGGATGCTGGTGAACTGTGGGCCCTAACCTGAACCCTAGCTTTTCTCTCCCCATGGGAAAAATCATGGAGGAATAAAGGGTCCAGGTCATTAAGACTTTGTTTGTTTGATTAAAGCATTTCTACTCTGCCCTTCATCCCGTCAGATTCAGGACCAAAAAGCGTGAAAAGTCAGGTTGTCCTGGTTGCTTCTGGACTTCCCACAAAGATCTGGCCAGCGCTGTATGGAAAGAAAGCTGGCCTAGAGGGATACTTGGCCTGACCAGACAGGTGTTTCTTATGTTCCTAACTTTTATGGATGCCCAGAGAAGCTTAAATTACTATTTGGATTTTTAAATTCCAAACCAAATCTCAAACCAACATTATCTGGATGATTCATTTATTTGTTAGTGTGGAAAGCTCTGCTATTTGCCTCGTTTATACTTACAATGGATGCACTCTGGAGGAAATGGCTCTTAATTGCATAACTTGTGGAAGGAGGCCTGTCAGTTGCATCTCCTTTTATCAAGATGGTGAATTTTGGAAGTTGGCCTTTCCTGTGCTGGATTTCGGTAGACGCTTCAACGGCCCTGTGCTGGCTGGATGTTCTGGGAATTGTGAGGCCTTTTTCTTTCTAAATATACATAGGATTGCACTCACATCTGGAACAAGGCTCTCATCTTGAAAGTGCATTTTGTCTGCATAATCAGCGTTACAGCGACTGGTTCACACACTCACTGGGGCTTAGTGGTGACTGAGGTTTGTTCAAGAAGGAAACAGTTCTCTGATACCTACTGCAATCCTGGCAAGTTTTTGAGACCACCACATTTAGATGCTATTTATTTTCTGTTTGCCATCAGCACTTCATAATAAAAAGGCCCGCAGAGCGGCTTCCAGTAAGTCAGCAAAAAGGAGTCCTTGCAAAAGTCATGACACACAAGGAAAAAAAATGGGGAGGGAAGAGAAACACTAACTAGCCTGCCAGCAGGGTTGATGGGCTGGCTTTGTTCCGATTTCATCATGGAGAAGGGGCAAGGGTGGCAGCCGGAGAAAGAGGGTTCCCATTTCTTGCACCTTCTTTCCCACGGGATGGTTGAAGTCAGCCCTGCTGAGGGGAAAGAGGTAATCCGACTGGAACGACCACCCTTTGCTCCTCCTCCTTGACTTTGAATAGTTTGGAAATGAAATACAGAAAGACTCAACTGCCGCAGGTCGGATGCCCCGACAGAGCGACTGGGAGTGTGGTTCAACGTAGCATCGAGTCTTTCACACGCCACGCACCATATTGAATGGCGGCCCTTCTTTTTCTGCTAGTGTCTTCCGCTTCCATTCAAACTGTACAAAAACAACAAGCCCGTGGTGTGCGCATTTCTTAACTGTTTCCCAATGATACAAAAGATGAAAGGTACTCAGAAGAGGAAGAGTGTTAGGGATGACAGAGATGTCAGTGAGGATCCCGGCTGAAATCCCTCTTCAGCCACAAGGTGCCTCTTGATGGGTGGCCATGAAGCTACTGTCAGCCCGAGCTCCTGTTTTCAGCAGTTTCCTGCAGACATAATGCTTCCACTCCTGGACTGGCAGCCATGATTACAAACATGGGCACTAGTGCGAAAGCTGAAGTTCCTAGCACCGGCTTTGAAGATGTTGCACGTAGCTCTCCCGACACCCATAAGGCCTTGCGGGACAAGGAGGGATCTCCACCAACACCTTCCCAGTGCAATTATTTATTATTTATTTATTTATTAAAACATTTTTACAAGATTACAAGATAGGCTGGACATGCACATGGTGGGCATGTCACGAGCAGAGCCGGCTGGGGCCGGGGGTCAGACTAGATGACCCGGGAGATCCCTTCTGACTCGCTCTGCTTCTACGCTTCTATGTATTTGAGGATGGGCTGCACTGCACGCTAACCCGAGTTTTAAAATCTGTGTTTTAACTCAGGGGTCTCTATACATATTTAACCGTGCTTTTGATTGTAATTTATGTCTTATTTTATATTTGTTACCTCATTTTATTTACTGTAAGCTTCCTGGAGAACACAGATCTTGAGGCAAGATATATATGTTGTAGGTAAATAATCAAGCCAAGCAACTCAAGTCTGCAGCTTGCACACATGGATCACACTTTCCTCCTTATTTAAGGAGCAACAGTGCGGCCTGTGCCCAGAAGGGCCCCCAGTAGGAAACATCCTGATGCTGGAAACGCTTGAAGTTATGTCCAAGTGACCAAAGCTTATCTTCTTGGCCACCACAATATAGAAATGCTGCCTGGTGAGGAAGGGAATCGATTGAAAGGTGACCGACAGTCTCAATATGGTGGAAAGAGCAAAGGGTCACACACTGCGGCAACCTTGGGAGGTTCCAACTCTTGATTCTGCAAGAAATCCACAGATTCAACAATCGCGGCATCTCCAGCCTGGCACATAAGCTAAAATGATACTGCGGGCGTTGCAAAGCCCTCTTCTATTTTTAAGAGTCTGCTGATGTGGGATACGTTCAGAGAAGACTTATTCTGTAATTCCTCTGGCTAAAACATGGACTCCTATGGGGGTAAAGATGTCATCATCTCCAATTGGTAAGCTGTTTTCTCATCACTCCTTCCATCCCTTTTCTTTCTAGAAGAAAGTCATGGTGCGGCTGGCGGTAAGAGCCCAGTTCTGCTGGGAAACATGCTCCCCAGTCTGTTTCCCAGAAAAATCACTGGGACTACAGCAGCGGCCACAGGGGAGAATTCTGGGAAGGCAAAGTGTCCCATTCCAGCCCCAGAAGTTGTGTGCCTTTGCTGCAAGTTGTTGTGCTTAATTAGATTGGGAACTAATTATACTGAACGCACAGAATTGCATATCATGATTAATAGGATGAATTCCATAGGCAAACAGTTTCTGCTCTCAAAAGTCTGAAATGGATAACCAGAAAAACGGGACGAAGCAAGGAAGAGACCGATTCAGGGAGGAAGGACCGTGTGCAACTTAGTTAATCACAGCTAAACTTGTTCACAGAGAGACCGACA